CATATCTTTTTACATTATTTTTTAACATCATATTTAATTATCTTTATCTTTAATTATTTTTTTACTAATTGGAATAACACAAAAACTTTTCCGAGAACTTTACGGGATTTATATGTTAAACGGTAAGTTATTAAATATCCATAGCAGGTATGTATGTACATACATGTGTATATGGATAAGTATTATGTAAATCTTTTGAGTTTCAAAGACCGTTTCCAAGGTGATTTTTCACTCAAAGTTCTTCCAACAGTTCGACGCCAACCTGATTTACTTTACCCTGTTTCCTCTTCGCTTTCAGGAAACTTTAACAATTTGAAATACAAATAGCACCCATCAGGATACAACAAGGCCAATTGCTTTAAGTTAGGGATTATATCAAAAGTTCTACATAAGATCAAGGCAAATTTAGCATTTTTTGTGATAATAATTATGCAAACAAGGCATTAAAACTGTAAAGCATTATAAACGTGTATTTAGAATAGGAATTAATTATTATGAATAAACAACAAAAAATTCCTTGGCAATTAAATATTGAAATTCAAAAAAATGATTACCCTTCATTATCATCATCATCGTAGGGTCGTTAGTCCGCTATTTCTTATCCTCATTGAATATTTATATTCCCGAAAACTTGAAATCTGTTTCTGGAAAATACCTTTATCTCAAAAAAGGGTCCTACCAACCTATCTCTCTTTAATCTCTGGTTCATTACACGTTTCAAATTGATTGAACTACAGGAAACTACAATTATGAAAGTTACTTGCAAACTGTTTGAATAATCCAGAAAGAAAACAAAACCTGCTATCAGTTGTAAAATTTCATTCATTTACGTAATTGAACATCATTATAAATCGGTATGAAATGTGATAAACATATCAGTATTAGCATTGGCTTAGAATAATTGGTCAGTCAGTTAGGTATAATTTGTATTGCAAAAACTACTTGATGAATAGGAAACAGAATGGCGTTGCTCAAGAATTACTGGCAAGTAATATATGCAAGTGTAAAATTCGCTTGTGAAATTATGAAATCTTATATTAAATATTCTTGTAATGCTCTTTGATTACGAGATATAACTTAATTGAATTTTCAAGGCTCATCTAAAACAGAAGTTATCGGGATTCTTGATAAATCCTTTCAAAAAAAAACTTAACCAAGAAACTACTATTTTTGAAATTTGAATTTATCTTCTTGGGGTAATTATTGCAAAGCAGCAATTAACCGAAGTCATGTTGTTTTTAGAACTCTTCTACCTTTATATATATAAAACCATATCTTTACCCCTTAATACCATCCCTCCTCCAAATACTGAGATGTAGCTCATCTGAAAACTCTTTTTATAAACATTCCAACAATCTATGAAACATCTAAACATGAGATAATCCATTTATTTGTTGAACACTCATCCCTCATATATTCCTCCCTCAAACCTCATCCCTATAGCTCGATTGAAAGCTCTCATAGTAAGCTTTCCAACGACCTATTCATCAACCCTTTTATATATAAGGTATAAGGTGGGCTAGATATTATACTGGAGGTTTATTTGTACATTTATTTTTTAAGCATTAATATGTGGCTTATTTGAAAGCCCTCATTATAAGCTTTCCAAAGATCTATAATATGAAATTCGTATATTTGCTAAATACACAACCCTCATGTCTTCCTACCTCATCTCCGGATATTGAGGGATAGCTCGTTCGAAAGCTCTCATAGTAAGCTTTCCAGCGATCTATAACTCGCCTATGTATGAGATATGAGGTTTATTCATATATTTGCTAAACACACAATCCTCCTGTCTTCCTCCCTCATCTACGGCTATTGAGGGATAGCTCGTTCGAAAGCTCTCATAGTAAGCTTTCCAACGATCGAAGACTCATAAATATATGAGCTTTATGATGGGGTAGGTATTATACCGGAGGTTAATTTATACATATATTTGTTGATCATTCATCTCCTCATNATGTATGTACATACATGTGTATATGGATAAGTATTATGTAAATCTTTTGAGTTTCAAAGACCGTTTCCAAGGTGATTTTTCACTCAAAGTTCTTCCAACAGTTCGACGCCAACCTGATTTACTTTACCCTGTTTCCTCTTCGCTTTCAGGAAACTTTAACAATTTGAAATACAAATAGCACCCATCAGGATACAACAAGGCCAATTGCTTTAAGTTAGGGATTATATCAAAAGTTCTACATAAGATCAAGGCAAATTTAGCATTTTTTGTGATAATAATTATGCAAACAAGGCATTAAAAGTGTAAAGCATTATAAACGTGTATTTAGAATAGGAATTAATTATTATGAATAAACAACAAAAAATTCCTTGGCAATTAAATATTGAAATTCAAAAAAATGATTACCCTTCATTATCATCATCATCGTAGGGTCGTTAGTCCGCTATTTCTTATCCTCATTGAATATTTATATTCCCGAAAACTTGAAATCTGTTTCTGGAAAATACCTTTATCTCAAAAAAGGGTCCTACCAACCTATCTCTCTTTAATCTCTGGTTCATTACACGTTTCAAATTGATTGAACTACAGGAAACTACAATTATGAAAGTTACTTGCAAACTGTTTGAATAATCCAGAAAGAAAACAAAACCTGCTATCAGTTGTAAAATTTCATTCATTTACGTAATTGAACATCATTATAAATCGGTATGAAATGTGATAAACATATCAGTATTAGCATTGGCTTAGAATAATTGGTCAGTCAGTTAGGTATAATTTGTATTGCAAAAACTACTTGATGAATAGGAAACAGAATGGCGTTGCTCAAGAATTACTGGCAAGTAATATATGCAAGTGTAAAATTCGCTTGTGAAATTATGAAATCTTATATTAAATATTCTTGTAATGCTCTTTGATTACGAGATATAACTTAATTGAATTTTCAAGGCTCATCTAAAACAGAAGTTATCGGGATTCTTGATAAATCCTTTCAAAAAAAAAACTTAACCAAGAAACTACTATTTTTGAAATTTGAATTTATCTTCTTGGGGTAATTATTGCAAAGCAGCAACAACCGAAGTCATGTTGTTTTTAGAACTCTTCCACCTTTATATACAGGGTGCTTCAAAAAAATGTATACACACTTTAAACTATTGTAATATTTCCGCTCTACAAGGCTAATGGTATATTTCTTCACCAGGTGCCAGCATAATCGTCCCTCTATGTTATATTATCAGTTGGAATTTGTAATATCAACATGGGGATCAAAATTTGTCGGGCCAGTGGATAGGACGCAGGGAGCCAATCGAGTTTCCAGCACGCTCTCCAGAGGTGTACAAACGTAAACCACGTAACCTAGACATTCTTTGGAATGAGATTCAAGCAGTGTGTAGAGAAATCTCATTGGACGTTTTGATACAACTAATTGATGCTCTTCATTTTATCGATGATGTGTTTTCTTCCGGGCTTTTTGGCCGTGGTCCATGGAATTTTACTGGGCAGGTTCAGCACCTGCCCAGTCACCACTGAAGATGCCGTCAGCAAAGAACGGCGAAACGTCTGGAAAAGTAAAATTCCATGGACCACGGCCAAAAGCCCGGAAGAAAACACAGCATCGATAGACGCCGGCTGTGAAAGCCTAAGAACTTCTTCATTTTAGTTGTTCGGAAAGCTAAGAGAAGCTCAGGGAAACATCGCTTTTAATAAATTAGAAGCAATAAGTGGTGACGTGACGGATCTGAATTTGGGCATTTCGGAAAAAGACAGGAAAAAGTTAACAGAAGAAGTTGAAATCGTTTACCACTGTGCTGCAACAATAAGATTTGATGTCCATTTGAAACAGGCGATTATTATTAACGTCAGGGGTACCAAGTATATGTTGGACTTGGCCAAAGAAATGAAAAAACTAAAGGTAAAGAAAAATAAAACATTTTATAGAACATCGTTAAAATTAATGTGGTGTTACGTAGCTGTTTGTCCACGTTTCCACAGCTTACTGTCATCTCCAAGAAAAAGTATTGTACGAAAAATCTTATCCTCCACCTGCAGACCCTAACATAATGATCAAGTTGGCTGAATGGCTAAATGAAGACATTATAGGTTCAATCCAAGACAAGTATGTTCTTATAATGAAATAAACATACGATATCATCAAGCGAAGCTAATCATTAATGATGCTTTTAGGGTTTTGGGAAATTATCCCAACACTTACGCTTATACCAAAGCTTTAGGTGAAGGCTTAGTGGACCAAGAAATTGGTAAACTACCCGTTACAATATTAAGACCATCTGTTGGTAAGTATATAATTTATTTATTCAGAAAACATCCGATTTTACTACTTAATTATCGGTTAACCTCATAATAAAAATGACCTAGCGCCAGAAATTTTTAAGTACATTCCATACAATTGACTCAATGTTAAAGTACGTTGCATGTACCCAAATTTATATAATTTAGTAGACATGGTGCAATAATTACAGGATGTAGTAATAAACACCAAATTCTAAACTTTGACCTTCGTAATTTCCAAATATATCTACCTATGCTCACTTACTTTCTTCAACTGAACTTCAAAGAATACGGAAAGTAGATTTTACATTCTGCTATCACATTCATCGTTATTATCCTTGAGTAATGGGTCGAGAAGATTTATTTTAATAAATCAGAAAACTATTTCAGAAAATTTAGCAAAAATTTCAGTGAGTCAGTCGTAACCTAGTTTCGGTTTTAACGAACTAATATTCCTTTGTAAAATGTAGTTTTAAATTTTATATATTTCAAGCCTTCGACAAACTGTGGTGGTTATATAGAGAAACAATTCTCTATAAAAAAACAGATTCAAATAAAATTGACTGACTATTTTAGAATGGAAAATGTATTAGACTAGCGATCCGCCCCGGCTTCGCACGGGTGCAATGCTGATACTAAATATACTACAGAATGTCTTTATTTATATACAACATTCACATTTTTTTTGTCATTAGACAATACAAACCGGCCGGTACCGCTGCAATCGCGATGTCCCTGCATTTTAAGTTTGTAATATCTTCGAAAATATTCTTTTAAATTACATGCTGTAAGGGCCATATTGATCTATATTAAATGCACAATGTATTTAAAAGTATTTAATTGGATAAGGATTGATGCTGTATTTCTTAAAATCGCTTCGTAAATAAGCCATTATTTNTTATGTTTTCGTGGAAGAGGGGAAATCTTCAAAAGACACCCAGCCGTCCGTACGACTGGGTAGTGTCGGATTCCCGAGGAAGAAGTCTTCGGACCTACCGACTAAAACCCCTCTACCTCAGGCCGTTCTAGGACCTACCAGGGCCCTCTTCAGCCGAATGGTGTATACTCATCTACATATTTATTAGACGGAGTATATTTTTTCACCCCCTAATCCCCCCCTCTATTTCCGATCATTGAGATATATATATCTCATTCAAAAGCTCTCGTCGTAGGCTTTGCAACGATGTATGACTCATCTATTTGTGAAGCAGGGCATAGACTGGACCTGCGGAATCAACTAAGATTATTACGTTATTTTTATGAAATTTATTATGGATTGAAGTCATCCACGTTAAAGTGGGCCCATTTTTCTCATTTTCACTTTTTCCTATGCAATATAGGTGAATACATGCTATTTATATGGTCGCTAAACAGTTTTTAAATCACAATAAACGCGTTGAAAACTCATCGAGAAATCTAGTCTTCAATAGACAGTAATTTTTTCGATTTTATTTATTATTCATAACGGTACCTGATCGATTATGCAAGAAAATGACATGAGTTCTGTGTGAAGAAAGTAAGTGCCTACTCGTTTCTATAATATTTTCACTTCGATCAAACCTGCAAACACAAACCGTCGCTAATGATTTCTTAATAGCTTTAATCGTTGATGTTAATGACAAATGAGAGACAGGGTGTGCTTCCTTCTCCTTCTTCCATTGGTCACTTGTTTCTCACAACGTTCAAATTCTTCAGCGTCGCACTTTACATAGGTAGCTAGTCTAGTATACTATAGTAGGTATATTATGTACACCAAACACACTACATTCATTCAAGTATAAGAATATCCTTGTGGTTTCTACATATAGCACTTACCATTTCACTTTGTGCCAGAACGCGCGAAGCTAGTCAACAATATTGTCTATCAATAGATAATTGTTATTAACAGTTCGATTTGGTTTTGTTACGTGATTGTTGAACGGTGTTTTAATTATTATTGTTGGCCAAATTCTTTATACGAATGACTCAGAAACTGTGAAGTGTTTTGTTGTTATCAGTTGCAAGAATTAAAAGTAAGTTAATCTACACTTTTTGATTCACGAAAGTTTTTAGAATCAGTTTAGGAAACTGTTTCATCATTCTATACGTATTTTTTTTTAGTTTAACAAAAAATACGATATATTAACTGACAGTTTCATTTACTGATGGTACAATTATTACATGTATTGAAAAATAAAATCCTTTCTATGACTTTATGACAATTTAAAATTCTGCAGCTAAGACAATTATGGTATAGTTAAGAAAGGCTAGTAATAAAGCTCTTGCAACAATTTACATTTTGTTTATGTAATTATCTTAAGTTGCAAACGGCGGTCTCTTGAGTTTTCTTGCAGAAAAGTTTTACAAAATCATTGTATGCAAATAATAATTGCCTTTGTTGAAATTGTCGACATAAATTATGTTCAGCTTTCACAATAGGTAGGTAAGGTTGATTTATTGTATAAAAGTTCTTCATAATGTAACAATAAACAGTACATTTGCAGTCAGTAATAACCCTGTTGTAGGTATGTGTAAGGAATTTTATAAAAAAAAGGAATATAATTACAAGTGAAAATTTTGGGTATCTAGATTATAAGACAGTATGGTAATTTCTTTAGGATTTTTCTCTTTGTGTTTCCGAATTTTGTCATACAATTTAAAAAGCTCTTTCACCAATATTTTGAACGAACTTTCGGAGTAGACATAAACTGTATATTATTTCGTTAAAATAAAAGAGCTTTTCGTGAAGACCAATTTGGCAACGCATAGAAGTCGACCAAAAAAAAAAAATGAAGAGAATGCTTTTCTTACTACATCAAGTAATACACAAATTGATAAAATATATCCTATAGTCACAAACAGGATTCCAAGCAGGTGAAGCTCCGGGCATAGTTAGTACCAAATAATTTTACACTTATACGCAATAGAAAACATTGCATAAGTTGTGGTACATCTTCAAGATTCCATGAAGACTTTATTTAAGGGTACAAAGACAAATGTAGTATCCTGTGGACGATTCCTTTAATCTAAGTACTCCCTGACATTCCACTATTGAACAATACGCTTTTCAAGTTAGTTTTGCTAGGTCTGGTGTGTTTTCACAGTTAATTCTCCTGCTCGCCCCATAGGTGCTCTGGGGACATGAATCAGGACGTTGAAGCTACGTTTGAAGCATATTCGGGATGTTATATATCTACCTAATATTCATTGGCGAAAATTTTAGGCAGTAGGTGGACTTAATGGGATAGTAATCCTACTGGAATTTTTTAATGGTCAAATATTTCAAGTTCAAAAATTAGTTTCTCGTAGTTAAATTTTATAGCCTTATTTGCTGTGTCTGCTTTCTAGACCAAATTCACGGACTGGCGTTCAAATTTTCTTTTAAATTGTTTATGAAGGCATGCAGGTCCGTAATTCCTTCAAGTATTACAAGATTACCCACCCATACACGTAGCCCTATACCATAGCATAACGACAGCGGATGATATCATAATTTTACATTACTTTTCCAACGTTTGATATAATTCTAATTGTACTTTTATTTCCTTCACTGTTTTTCTATTTGACTTTACTTTTAGTGAAGATACGAGTGTTTATGGAATTTTGGTTTTCTACATTTTCGGTATTACAGTCTTTTGCTGTACCATCAATTTTGTTAGTGTTAAATGTATCTAACTGTATTTTGTTGGATTGTTTGCTAAAAAAGAACATTTAAAGTTATCAACGCGTTAATATTGTAATGTCTATTGAACAAAGAAATCTAAAGTGTGAAGATTACCGAGTGATTTTATAACTGGTATTTTTTAATTTTAGTTATATAATATGTTAATAATTTTTAAAGTATGGTAAATATTAACAATACATATTTACGTTCGAAAGTAGTTTAAGATTTTTCTAGATGCTTCTTCCAATTACCATAATAAAAATAGCTTAATCATCAACAATCATAAGGTGTGCTTTTTTAAAATCATCCGAAAGATGTAATAACTATAACAGCAACAATTTTACTGGACTACTTTTTAGTATACTTAAAACTACTTTTACTTACATCACACTTTTATGAATAAATATACCTATAAAAATATTGACAGTTATGCAATTTCTACAAATATTTCTCTGTTTATTGTGTTATTTAATATTGCAATTGGCAAAAAGCTTGCTTAAAAAATAATCCTTTTCTTTATGTTTCGACGTAATCACTAAATTGAATCCAACAACTTTCAAGATTCAAAATGTTTTAATTTTTTAATCAAATAAACGAATAGTTTTACTAATTACATAAATGATAAGTAAGCCATTAGTTTTACATACTAGATGTTATTCTTAATTATTTGAGTCTCAACCTATTTCATATTCATTTATATAAATTAATCTCTACTTTGGATTTCGAAGTGTTCAAAAATCATCGAGTCATCATTACGTTCGTTAATTAATAGTTTTGTTAATCTGCATGTCATTGTTCGGACCTCATCATAAGTTATTAATTAAATGCATCTTTTCGACATTAAAACCGAATTAAGCTAATCGGCTTTAAGTTTATTACCTCTAACGATCTCATAGCATCATGTGTTTTAATAGCACCATGATAAATATTTGTAGATACGTAGGTACGTAAGTATTAGTGAATGCAGAGCCGGACTGAAGATTTTGGCCCGGGGTGCAATGTAACCAAATGGCCTGGGTTAGAAGGGAAAGTGCAAAAATTTTAACAGCACTCGTTTTTAAATAAATTTAAGAAGTTATTCGGGACTTTTTTTATGAATAGGTACTCACTATACATAATTGGCTAAGCTTGTTCATATTTAAATTATTTGTACTAATATCGTTGCTCGACAACATTTACGTTTTATTGTTGGTGATATTTTTAATAATTTTCTAATCTAATATAAAAATTTAATGATTCTAACGTGTCATTATTAGAATGTATGTGTATGGAACCAACTATCCATCCGAATACAGACATTTAAACCCGCCTCATTCTTTGCAATTGTTTAATTCCAATATTAAAAATTCTGATTCTAGATATCGGATGTAGACCTAGTTGACAGTTCCAAAATGAAATATGATCTTATCTATATGCAAAACAAAAATGCTTTTCTTTTGTTTTCGTTAGCTAATATCTTTTAAACTGCTTCATGCAGTTGGTTTAAGTTTTACAAAAAAAAATTAATTAAACAGATCGTCTTTACTACATTTCATTTATCTCTTTTATCTATCGTTCTTCCGCAAATTCATAACCGAAAAGTGTTTTCAATGGCTAACTGACAGTTAAATAAACAAACAAACCTTTCCGAAAACATTATTATACATATGTATATTACATAACTTAAAACCCAAAATCGTTTATCGATCTAAAACAACGAAAAGAATAATTTACACTGTTCTTTTTATATGTCTATACAAATATTTGGCTAGTACGTAATAACATGAAGAAAATGCAAAAAAAAACTTATTAAGTAAATCATTAAATTGTATAAGACTAGGTCGTAATTGCCACAATAAATAGAAAATTTGGCAAACAGATTGAGCAACAAATGTAATAAGACTACAATAAAAAAAATTGTGTATCTTGTACATACAATAAAATATAATCGGTTTTCTCTGAAAGGGCAAAGGTTAACCTACTTTTGAGTCGACTTTTCCGTACATTTAACCCATTTTAGAAGAGATGCGATAGATTTTTATATACGCTTATTAAAAAGGTATTGTTTTGGACTCAACCAATTAATTTTATAATGTAGGTACTTTGTTGTATTTAAAACCTTCTAAATAGTAGGATTTTTTTTAACCCATAATGGTTTAGCGGGTTCAACCGGTATAAATTATACGAAAATTTTAAAGCGTTTTTCTTTTTTCCACCAAAATTTAAATTATGATACATAATAGTGTAAGTATGATATAAACGTCGGTCTAATATTTGATTAGGTGAATGTATCAAAAATAAATTTGTTTTGTCAATAACAGTGAAAGTGTTCTACTTTTACGTTAACAGTCTGGCTAGTTTTAATTCAAAAGTGTTCTTCATTAAAGACGGCCAGACAACATGCGCATATGCCTACGGAAATATTTCGGCAGGTTTATTTATATTCTTTGAGCACATATCGACGTAATACATATGTTATCCTTTAGAAACTCAACCGGAACTTTAGTTTCATGATTATTATTGACGTATGTTTTTTCGTTATTTAATACAAAAGAAGGGGAATGAAACGTGCATTATGAAAGATTGTAATGTGAATGTGCAGAAAATGAAAATAATTTGTGTATGTTAGCGTTATGCAGAGTCCGAATTGGATATTGTCAGGCATCAACAATATAGTCCACGTATCGAAGACAAAATGTGTCCTAAATACCTTTCGCGGTCATATTGTACGGAAAACTGATGAATTTTCCTGGTAACCGAGACTTTTCCGGATAACTAATATATTTTCCGGATAACGGGTACATTTTCCGGGTAACGAATACATTTTACGGATAACGGGTACATTTTCCGGATAACGAATACATTTTCCGGATAACGGATACATTTTCCGGATAGCGGATACGTATATATTTTATTTTACAGTTCGATTATTTTGTTTATTATATATACTTAGAATTAATCCTGTAGGAAGCAGGCAACATTTATGTTTAAATGTTAAGAGTGTGTCTTTGCAAAGCTGAAGTGTTATGTGTTTTGTAATATGCCCTTTGACGTTGCAGTAAACAGTCCAAAAATGACGTCGTAGTCTTTTTTAGAGATGAGTATTATTATTCGATATTCGATCTTGTAATCAAACCGAACATTCCTCCTCAGGTTGAAGCCGATTTTCCTTTACCGACTATTGAAAATTGAAAATGTGTACTAATCTTTCTTTATATCCACTATATCTTTTAAAAAACATCTACACCTTAATTTCTTGTGTTTGCTCTTTTACTAATGGCGACGTTGTGAGTAGAGGAATTAATTCCTATAAATGTTACCTACGTATCTGTTTTCCACAAGTCTAAAAGTATTTTCAAAAAATTTGTCAACACCGGTTTGGTATGGTGT